CAGGCTCCAACTCGGACTCCGACTCGGACTCCAACTCGAACTCCGACTCGGACTCCGACTCGGACTTCGACTCGGAGCCGCGCCGCGGGAGGAGAGTACGTGTCGCCAGGAGTCGCGCGTGCACGCGAGGCCCGTGGGGACAAAGTTGCGATGGCAGTCTGAGGGGAGCGCACAAGCGGAGAGGGTGGCCAGGGCGCAGGTTCTTTGCGCTCTGGGCAAGCGCACGGCTTTCGCGTCCTTGGGCACTTTGAGTCGCCCGTCGTTACGTTGGCGCGCCCGTTACGTTGGCGCGAGAGTGCTAGCGGGGTACTTTTGTACGTTTCTTTTGTCCTTTGTAGTGCCAGTGGCCCGTACCCGGTGGCCGGTGTGTCGTGCGACTGAGTTTTGTTGTAAAATTCTTTTGCTCTCTACGTCACTGTATTAGGCATTCGTATATTTAGAGCTAGGTGTACCTCAACTAAGCTCGCGTTCTCCGACTGCTCCGACTGCGGCCCCAGTGCCCAGAGACACTGCGAGTCAAACTTTTTCTTCTCACTGTCACTCGTCACAGACGTCACTGGACACTGCTCACTCCGCACCTAGAAAAAACTCTGACATTTTACGAACTCCTTGGCGACGCGCGCGCCGCGTCGCCAAGGCTCAGCGACCTCGGTCGTACAATCGGCCGGCTGCGCGGGTTTTCGGCGAGTTTCCCGCGCACCGGCCACGACGGACCAACCAGACCAAAAATCGCGACGCTCGCGCGCAAAAATCACCACGGAATCAACGCTCACGACGCTCTCGATGATCTCGATGATTCGAGGATTTGAGGATGGTGAGGGGTGAGGGTGAGGTGTGCCCCCCCCTCCCCCCCCGCCCGGCCTCGAACCCGCAGCCAACCGGCCCGAATGCGAACCTCTGACCGCTACGCCAGCCACCAATGCACAAACCTCGACGCCACAAATTTCTGAACCCCATACACCCATGCACTCAGCTCACAATCAGCACCCTACACAGTATGATTCCCGCGCGTCTCGCGCCCCAACTGACAACTCACCATTGTCCCTCGGACACCACTCTCCAGCCGCGCTACTTTCGCCCACCCACCGCTCTCGCATGACATCTCGACAATCCTCATCTCTGGGCCCAAGACTCCTAACCACTTCCCCTGCTCGCCCAGGACCACGAAGCGCCGCCCGCGCGCCCATTACCCCCCAATCAACCCACGCTGTCCCTCAATCGCCACCCGCCAGATGTACTGCCCTCGCCCACCCAATACTCTCACCCTCCTAACCCGGACAGTCCAGGTACAGGAAAAGCGGGGAGCGGGGCCCGATCCAAGGAGCACCCCGTCGGCCCGGGAGGGCTGTGAATTTCGGCGCGGGCGGAAGGCTGCCTGCAGACGCTCAGCCCCTGGCTGAGCTGCCGAATCCTCCCGGCTAATCCCCTGACCTGCCGCCTGAAACGGGACAACATTACACCACCTCACACACACTCCCCCCTCAGGGCTAAGCAGTGCGCAAGTCCACCCGAACTCTAGGCGAGGCGTCGACCACTCCTTCGGAATAGCTCTGTCAGTGGCTAACCTGGTTTGTGGAGCTCCCGCACCTGTTCTGACAGAGACCTGGCCGTTCTGACAGCGTTCTGACAGCGTTCTGACAGTGTTCTGACAGCGTTCTGACAGCGTTCTGACAGCGCAAAATCCTCCCCTCTCTTCACAGCTCAGGGGCTCTGACGTTCCCAGTTGCCCCGCTCCTTCCCTCTTTTTGCCTTGAAGTCTCCCTCCGAGCCACGGACGGACTCAACACACAGCACGTCCTCCCAAGCGCCAAGGCGACACTCTCACGTTGAGGCGTACCTAGGCCCTGTTCTGACACAAACTTGGTCCCCGTTCTGACACAAACTTCAACTTTCAACTTCGAGTCCAAGTTCGCCTGTTCTGACAATCTGTTCTGACAATTTAAAAAGAAATGCGCGCGACACACCAAGCGGGAGCGCAAACAGCTGTAACCGTCGAGCAGGAGCACGCCAAGGCCGCCATCATGCCGGGGCCTCGAGGCAGCAAACGCGCTCTTGCGATGGTCTGCGGCGCAGGCTGGAGCCCCGCGACAGAGCCGAAGAAGCTGCGGCCCGGCAGCAGCCACGCCGAAGCGCCGCAGCACAGTGTGCGATGTGCGGGCCCGGCGGTCCAGTTAGACGCGAAGGCTGCTTCCAAGACGGCAGCCTCGGGTCACGAGGGACCGAACGTGCCGCTTGCGACGCCGCCGCGCCGTCCTTTGGCACCACCGCCAAACGGCCCTTGCTCCTCCGCGACACGCGCCGCAGAGACGCGCTTGTCGCCGCCAAAGCAACAGCAGCAGCAGTGGCAGCGAGACTTAACGTCGGCAGTGCGGCCTCGCCGCAGCCCAGCCGGCGCTTGCCTTGCCCTGGCCAGGCGGCCGAGCAGGCGGTGCCCGCAGCCGAGGCAGATCAGCGGGATGGGCTCGAGCGGGCGCCGCCGCCCCCTGGCGCCGCGCCCGCAAAGGAGCCTGCAAAGGCGGCGGCGATCGGCGAGGCGGCGGCGCTCGCGTCTTGCAGATGTTCACACTTGGCCCGCTCTCGCGTGCTGGCAACGTTCTGACAGTACCCTACCCACAAAAGTGTTCTGACAGCGTTCTGACAGCGTTCTGACAGCGTTCTGACAGCGTTCTGACAGTGTTCTGACAGCCGTTCTGACAGCTTTTTGACGGTAATTTACAGTTAAGACTCACCATCTGGTCTGAATAGAGGAGAGCGATGTCAGTGTTGGTTACAGCAGAAAGATTCCTTAATTCGCTCCACTACAAAAAAAGTCCGGTGGGGAACCGACATCCTGGCCCCGAATGCCGTGCTCTCGAGGAAAGGTGCGGGAGCTCCACAAACCAGGTTGGCTGCACTAGACGCCCAGTGATGGCGCGCGGCGCGGGCGGATGACTGGAAGAGAAAATGCGGAGATGCTAGCTCGCAGGTAGATGTGCTCAGCCAAGGGTCGGGGATGAGGGGAATGTGTCAGTGTGAGGGGTGCACCAACCGCAGAGCGTTGTGTTTTGCCTTTGAAAACTGAACAGTTTTTTTTCACGAGCGAGGTACGGCAATCGGCACATGGGGCATGTGCGAAGATAAAAAGAATTTTCGTTCGCTCAGTGCTGTCTGCTGTATATCACATGACCAACGAGGCAATCGTCAGGCGCGAGTCATCTGGGGCCCCACAGTCGCTGTGCAGCGAGAGAGATCGAGCTCTAAACACGCACAAGGCTTTTTGATTCCTGGGTGTGCGGGCCGGAAGTTCGAGCCCCGCCCCGCCCGCCCCCCCCGCCGCCCACCCTGCCTGCCGCTCTCCCGCTCAGATGCCCCTTGCCCGCCATGCGGCGGCGGGGCGCGTCGGGCTTCGGCGGCCTCCGGCGGAACGGCTCGTGGTGGAAGTACTTTGGCCTCCGGTCGAACTGGACGTGCAG